AGACTGACATTTCGGATACTCTTTCCCCCAATGGTTATACGGCCCTTCCTAGGCGGAAGCCCAGGAGCTGATGAAAGCTTCCTGGATTTGGTAGAGCTGGTAACCTCGTCATCCGGCTTCCGCTTGACAAGCTTGGAAAGGGATCTAGGAGCTCCCTTGTCTCCATCCTAAAAAACAAGTCAGAGGTTAATAATACAACCGAAACCAGGCACTAATCATACAGTCGGTTCATAACCGTTCGTATACATGAATAAGACAATGGGGAAGAAGCTGGGGCAGGCGGTTTATACTTAGCCTTTAACCGCCAGAGCGACTTTTTTTTACTCCGCATTTTCTTTGCGGATGTCTGCTGCAGGACGAGCAGGCATTTTGTTTTCTGGAAGCATTCTTCTGGCGATTTCTGCAAAATCACCGACTGTTAGATTATCAAGCAGGCAAAAGTAAATCACAAGTTAGAAACACTAAAGACGGCATAATATTGCCGGATGCATGCTCAACGTACGTCCGTCAACCGAGTGCTCAAACCGCAGGCGGACAAGAACGCCTCATCTCTTTGAAATTCATGCTTGGGTACCCAGTTCTTGGGTACATGATTAACTCCCCGGATGAAAGAGTGGTGGTTGTAAGCTCAAAAAACCCCAACTCTATTATTTTTTCATAGTCCTCATCCGGGACCTGTGGAAGTTTGCACTTCTGCCCCAATAGATCCGGCTTCTTGTTGTAAGTACGATATATAAAGTTATCTTGCCGCTTGGGGGCAGAAGCCAGATAAAACCAGTTCTTCCAATCAGACCATTTACACGGTTTGTCTAGGGTCATTAAATAGTTGGGGTATGTGATCAAGGTGCACCACGCCCGCCAGCCGACTGGGCTACGGCCGAGATAGTGCATGTGGGCAAAAGCCTCCCAGTCGGGATGGAGGCCTTGCATCTCACAGGCGGCGATGTTGCCTAGAATGTTAACCCAACAATTTGCGGTTAACTTCCACACTCCTAGGCCATATCCTCGTAGGATAGCCTTAATGGCATCATGAAGGGGGAAGCGAAGACCGACTAGGAAGGCTGCCTCATAGTTGCCGAAGAAATTTTTGGCGTTTGGCTAGTCATCCTTCCAGGCAATGGTACCCAATTCAAGCGGCACCCGGATGACATAACCCTCGCCAAGAGGACGTTTAGTCTTAAAATCCTCCAGGTTCTTTTCCATGTTTGCCCTATCTCTAGCAGAAACATGGATCCGAAAAGGATCCCCCTCATTTTAAGCTCTCCTCTACTTCGTTATCCTCAATCGCTGATAGTGAGCTGATGCTCTCTTCAGAGCTAGACCTAGAGGCGGACTTACCCCCGCTTCTCTCAAGGACATCCTCATCCGCCTCCTTAGAGCCAGACACAGAGACGACATCTTCACTGTCTCCACCCTCAGATTCAAGGATCCCGTCACTAGGAGTGCTGGGTGCACCCGGAGGGGATCCTTTTGCCTCTTCAGCCTATTCTATCTCAGGCGGCACACCTTTTGTGCTCTCTTCCTAATACTATGGATCTACAGCCGTCCATCTAGTCCGAGCCATAGTGTCCTGCACAGACACGGAGATGGTCGGATTTGGAGATGAACAAGAGTGATCCAAGCACCCAGAGGCGGCACCCAAGTCTTAGACTCAGCCGTACCAGGGGACCGGCTGCCTACTAAACTAGGTTGTGCCGTGTGTGCTGTTGGGGAATCCATTTATGAAATGAAATGTACATAAACGGAAAAACTATGAAAGAGCTGAGAAGAGGAGAGACGGTACCTCTAGGATGAGCTGAAATATAATCAAGCGTTGACCCGCTGTAACTAGCAGGCGGAAATTAGACGGTTCACCGGATGTACCCACTTGGAAAGCAAGTGAATTTGCTGGAAAGGTACCCAGACGGTCTTGGGAAGTTCCGTTTGTTGGGTGCACAGACGGTTAACTAACCGGATGTATCCCCTTGAAAGAGGAGAATTGTTTGCAAACTACCTAGACGGTTCTCACAAAGTCCCCTGTCAAAAGCACAGCCGTTATACCGGATGTACCTAGATTGAAAAGGACAATTAACCTGAAGATACACAAGCGGTTGTCAGAGTTTCTCTTTCTAGAAACGGTTGACTCTCTTTCTAATTTTTGGAAATGTCCGAAAATGGGAAGGGTAAAAAGCTATTTAAGGAAGGGTAATTTAAGGGGCATCCCCGTAATTTCTCTAGAAGGTAAACGGTTAAAGCTGTTCACCAATGCCTGCACGACAAGTGTCACAGGCGCCACGTGGCACACCACGTCACACCTGTGAAGGGAAAATGTTTTGGGTAAAAATACCTAAGGCCACGTGGCCCAATAAAATGGTGACACGTGTCACCCTATGAGAGGTTCAAAATGAACCAATCCTCAGCTGACACGTGGCATCTCCAATCATTGAGAAAAAGACGGCCTTCAAGGCCCAATTCCTTAGACAGCCCACCATTCCTAGGTTTCCGTAACCAAGGAAGGAGGCACGAATCCCAAGACCCTATAAAGGAAGATGTATTCCACCTAGGGGACGGATTCAGGATTCACAAAAAAAAAAAAAACTAGAGCAGTCAATGATTGCAGATAATTAATTCTCACCACCGAGAACATACGTGATCTCGGAATCCGAGAGGATCCCACCTTTCTTTCCACACTTTTTACGTCTTTCAAACACGTTCTAACTTGATCGTTGGAGGCGGAACTCCACCCAACCGGAGTCTCTGTTGTTTAGTAGGTACAGGCGCCCGAAATTCAGTCTTGGTGTTGTAACTCTCCCGAGGGACACAGAAAACCCCGAAACAACTATTGCCCCCAAAATGAGAGTATTAGTTCCTCTTTATTCACCTCATACCACACCATCACTACATAATTTTCCTTACAATCACATCATCACTATCTCGTTCTTCACTATTTTCACTTTCATTTTGCTTAGTTTGACTTTTATTACCCTAGTAATACATCTCCCCTAATCCAAGCATGCACTAAGTCTTAGCTGCACCTGCACCACGACCTATAAAATGAACATGTAGTATAAAAATATGAACATGTAAAAAAAATGAACACTTAGTAATAATGAACACGTAAATAAAATGAAAATTTAGTATTAAAAAGTGAATACGTGAAAAAAATATGATCATATTGTAAATTAAAAATGAACATGATTATCATATAATCATTGAATTGCTAGACAACGGCCTTAAAAATGAAACATTGAGTAAGTAAAAAAAAAAAAAAAAATTCCAAACACGTTAAAAAAAATGAACATTTAGTAATAAAAAATGAACACGTATAAAAAACATGAACATTTGGTATATTACAAATGAACATTTATCATACAATCATTGAATACCTAGAGCATACCTAATAAAATGAATATTTCATAAAAATGAACACTTTAAAAAAAAATAAACATTTATTATTTAAAATGAACATTTAAAAAAATGAACACGTCAAAAAAAGTTATGAACATTTAGTATATTTAAAATGAACATGATTTTCATATATTCATATAATGTCAAATTCTTTATATATATTAACGAAAATAAAGATAAAATAATTCGTTAAAATATGTTTATTTTTTCTGTACTAAATGTTCATTTTTAGTGTATTAAAAGTTCATTTTGTACCATATGTTCATTTTTAAAGTACTACGTGTTCATTTTTTTTACGGAAATTATACATAAGTTCGATTGTAATTATTTTAACTCTAAAATGTAAATATCCACCTTAAATCTTATCTAGGTTCATCAAAGAGAAAATAATTATCGATCTATAATATGATAGATTAAGAATCACAAATGAAAAATTGATAAAACCAAAAATTTAATAACATTCACGTATTTATAAAACCAAAAATAAAATAAAAAATGATGACGATGGAGAATGCTAAAATGGTGACGAATTGGAGAATGCTTGAAGTAGGACAAAGAAGAATAATGATTGAAGGAAAGTGAGGTATTTACATGCTCATTTTTATAGAGATAATAAAGGAGAGAGAAAGTTTCAAAATAAGAAGAAAACAGAGGAGAGAGAAAATTAATAGAGGTAAGAAAAGAGAAGAGAGAAAGAGAGAAAGTTAAGATATAATTAAAAGAAAAAAAAAACGTATGTTTAAATTTAAAGTACTATATGTTCATATATATGAAGCTGATGCAACAAGCTTAGCTACACAAGGGTGTAGCTAAGAATTTGCGTCAGTTTTAAATCAAGTTGATCGAGTAGTCCGTTTTTAACACCTCTACCTACACCTTGATGGTTGAATAATTAGAATAATTTGATACCAACATTATTTATATATGATATATACTTTCTTATTAATATATAAAAATCAAACGATATTATGTATGAGTAACATGTTGATGAAATAATCTCAATTTATATTTTCAATATTTTTGAAACTTCTATGTGTATATTATGAGCTTATGGCTAGACCCGTGCATTGAAAATTCACGTAAATGGTAATGAGAAGAGTTTTATGGTACGGAGTAAAACTATGTTTTTTTGGATTTATATTTTAATTTTCATTTCATTTTGTTTTCAATATTTTTTTTTTTGAAAGGTGATTTTGTTTTCAATTCAATTTAGTTTAATTATTGATTTAAGTCGGTTTAATTATCGGTCTAATTTCAACACTTTTATTTTTTCAATATCTTGTCATGAAGACATGAACCTTTAATTTAGGATCATTATTGGCATATTGACATTAGTTTAAGACAAAATGTTGGAATTTTAAAATGACTAAGGTGGCTAACGCTATTTTTAGGGACATAAATATTCATACACTATTTTTAAGAGTTTTCAAAAAAAAAAAAAAGTAATTAACATTAATGAAAACAAATAAGTAAATAAACACTTTAGAGGATATAATTGTCCAACCACTATTCAATATTCATAAGAGTTAAATTATTAAAAATAAAGCTTAGAGACAATTAAAATCATATAAATAGGGGCATTATCAAAAACCCTTGCGAACAGTTTGAAGCCGATGCTTAAGCAGATTACCTCTCCCGAACAAAGTGCTTTTGTGCCGGGGCGACTTATCACTGACAATGCACTTGTGGCTTTTGAGGTGTTCCATTCAATGAAGAGAAGAGGTGAAGGGAAAGACGATACTGTGGCTTTAAAGTTAGATATGATGAAAGCCTACGATCAAGTTGAATGGGAATTTTTAGAAAAGGCGATGCACAAACTCGGCTTCTGCGATGAGTGGACACAAAAAATCATGGGCTGCCTCTCTTGCTTTTCTTTCTCTTTCAAGCTCAATCGAGAGATTATTGGGAAGGTGGTGTCGCATAGGGGTCTTCGACAAGGAGACCCAATATCTCCATATCTCTTCCTTCTAGTGGCGGATGCATTTTCAAGACTACTTTTGAAGGCTTCTAGGAAAAACATTATTCATGGTGCGAAGGTATGTCACAGAGCTCCTCGGATTTCACATCTATTTTTTGCTGATGATAGTATTTTATTTGCTAGAGCAAATCCTACGGAGTGTTAAAAAATTGCGGATTCTCCGTATTTATGAAAGAGCTTCAGGGCAAAAAATTAATTTTAGCAAATCAGAGGCAACATTTAGTAAGATTGTCACAGTGGATAGATGAAAAAGCATATGTGAATCTCTTGGAGTCAAGGAGGTAGTTCGTCATGAAAAATATTTGAGACTCCCTACAATAATTGGCAGATCAAAGAAGGCTAATTTTGCTGGGCTTAAAGAGAGAATATGGAAGAAACTTTAAGGTTGGAAGGAGAAGCTTCTTTCAAAACCGGGCAAAGAGGTATTGATTAAAGCGGTTGCTCAAGCTATCCCAACATACATTATGAGTGTTTTCAGAACTCCCGATGGACTCATTGATGAGATACCTTCGATCTTTGCTCGTTTTTTGGTGGGGCAATGTGGTGAGAACAAGATGCATTGGAAGAGTTGGGACACTCTATGCCTTCCGAAATCAAAAGGGGGAATGGGGTTCCGGAATCTTACAGTTTTCAATCAATCACTACTAGCAAAAGGGTGGAGATTGATGCAATGTGGGGATACACTCCTTCACAGAGTGTTAAAAGCCAAATATTTTAAACACTCTGATTTTTTGGAGGCGAGGAGAGGCTTTGATCCAAGTTATACTTGGCTTTGGGGAGCTAAGTCACTGCTCCTTGAAGGGCTACATTGGAGGGTTGGAAATGGACGAGATGTTTGAGTATGGGATGATAAATGGCTGCCTTTGCGTAGTAATTGTGAACACTTTTCCCCATCACCAAATAGATTACATGATCTTGACATATTGGTGTGTGAATTAATTAATGAAGACTCGGGGTGTTGGAAACCTGATGCATTGGAGTTACACCTTGACGCTGAGGACATTATAATTGTGACTAGCCTCCCTCTTATTTATCCTCTCGTGCATGACCGAAGGTATTGATTGGAGACCCACTGCTGATGCTGTGTTTACTGTGAAATCTGCTTATTGGCTAGGTATACTTGGAGTGAAAAATGTTGCCAATAGTGTTGATGCGGATTTTTGGAAATTGGTGTGGAACATTGATGGACCACCAAAACTTTGTCACTTCCTTTGGAGAGTTTTCAGTGGTGCAATTGGTGATAATGAAGTGATGAGGCGTAGACATATTCGAGGGGTGGGGTATGTCCTATTTGCGGGTGTGAGGAGGAAACAATACTTCATAATGTATTCAAATGCACAGCCTCAACCTTGATCTGGAATGTGAGCTCCTTTACAAATATTCTGTTTGAAACATATGTTATGGGTCCAGCCCAATTGAAGTAAAATGTATTTTGTTTTGGTCCATTTACTTGGTCCATTTTTATTACATTTTACTAGCTTGAATTAAGTCCAATTTAGGGACTTAAGTTGTGGCTTCTCTTGTAAGCTTTAGATGGAAAATCTTGTGGTAAACAAGTGACCAAGTGAGGCAGCTAGTAGCTGAGAACACACACACAAAAATAGAGAGAGAAGTGAGGTTTTCATTTTCGGAGTTTTCAGGCAAACTTCTGTAATTTGTCCGTTGCCGGAAATTGCACCGTTTGATCATCCTCAGATTTTGACAGCTTGTTTCTGACACCTAGGGCGTCATTTTGGACGGTTGGATTGTCAGTTTGAGCTCTGGTTTGGTCACAGTCGTCTTTGGATAGAACTGCCGTTTTTGGGTGAATTCTACCTTTTTGCTCTCTAATTTTCAATCTCTTATTGTTTATTGTTGTTGGTGGGTTGTGAATTGTTGTGAACTATATTGGGTTCATTTTACCCTCAATTTTATTATCAATAAGAGAATGTTAAGGGTGGACTCCTTAAGAGGTCCCGTGGTTTTTATCCTTCACATCGAAGGGGTTTTCCACGTATAATTCGTGTGTGTTGCTTACATTTTATTCCGCTTATTATTGATGCTTGTGAGTGAAATATTGTTGTCCATATTTCATATTCTTGTTGTGTGATATGTTGGAATGATTGGTTTGGATATTTGGTTGATTGTCTTGAGTTGGTGATTTAGTGAGTGTCGTAGTGACCTCTTCCGATCCCTACAACTTGGTATCAGAGCCGTGGTTAATATAATCACATTATGGAGTCGAGTAGTAGTAGCTCGATGGTTAAATTGACATCAACTAATTATTCAATTTGGAGACCTATGATGGAAGACTTGTTATATTGCAAGGATTTTTTTGACCCAATTGAATCTGTCACTAATCCAGATGGTAGTGTTTCCAAACCATCTAAACCGAATAAAATGGAAGTTAAAGATTGGGAAAAGTTGAAAAGGAAGACTTTGGGGACGATTAGGCAATGGGTTGATATTAGCATATTCAACCATGTGTCACAAGAGTCCGACCCTTATGAATTGTGGAAGAAGTTGGAAGGTCTTTATGAAAGGAAGACCGCTCATAATAAAGCTTCATTGATTAAAAGACTTGTTAATTTGAAATTGAAAAGTGGAAAGTCTGTTTCTGAGCATCTTAATGACTTTCAAGATATTATTAATAAGTTGACTACTATGAAAGTTGTTCTTGATGATGAGTTGCAAGCTTTGTTCTTGTTGAGTTCTTTGCCAGATAGTTGGGAGACCTTGGTTGTGACTATTAGTAACTCTGCTCCGGATGGTGTGTTATCTTTGGATGTGATCAAAGATAGCATGTTTAATGAAGAAATCAGAAGAAAGGAGATGGGAGTTGATAATTCACATGCTCTTGTTGTTGAGAACAGAGGAAGAGACAAGAGTAGGGGTCCCAAAGGCCATGATAACTCAAGGAATAGGTCCAAATCCAGTGATGGGAGAAATGTGACTACATGCAACTATTGCAAGAAACTTGGTCATATCAAGAATTATTGTTTCCGCTTCAAAAGGGAACAAAGACAAAAGAATGACAATTCACAAAAGGAGGGAGATGATAAAAATACTGCAGCGATTGCTTCTAAAAGTGATGATGAGGTCACTTTGATATGTGCAACTAGTGAGTGTCATCATGTTGATGGTTAGACACAGAGTGGTTAGTAGATACAGGTGCTTCATACCATTGTGTTCCCAGGAGAGAGTATTTCATGAACTACAAGTCTGGTGACTTTGGTAGTGTGAAGATGGGAAATCAGAGCTCAGCAAGCATTGTTGGGTTAGGTGATATTCGTGTGAAGACAAGTGTTGGGTGCATGCTTACATTGAAGAATGTGCGCCATATTCCTGATCTACGCCTTAATTTGTTGTCTGCTGATGTTCTTGATTTAGAGGGTTTCCGACATACTTTTGGTGATGGTAAGTGGAAGCTGTCTAAGGGTTCGATGACAGTTGCACGGGGTGAGTTGTGTTGCTCTTTGTACAAGACATATTTGAGTGTATGTTCTGGTGAGCTTAATGCAGTGGAAGAGAAGAACTCTCCAAATTTGTGGCATCGAAGATTGGGACATATGAGTGACAAGGGATTAAAACTTTTAGCAGGTAAAACATTGATTCCTGTTGATAAAATTGTTTCTCTTGACCCTTGTGATCATTGTTTGGCAGAAAAGCAGCATAGAGCTTCCTTCTCCAGGAAGTCTACTAGAAAGCAAACCAAGTTGGAGTTAGTACACTCCGATGTTTGTGGTCCCATTGAAGTTGAATCTCTTGGTGGCAATAGATATTTTGTCACTTTCATCGATGATGCTACTCGAAGAACTTGGGTGTATATGTTGATGACAAAAAGCCAAGTGTTCGAGGTCTTCTAGAAATTTCATTCCATGGTAGAAAGGGAGACAGAAAGAAAGGTGAAGCGTCTTCAAACTGATAATGGTGGTGAGCATACTTCGAAAGAGTTCAAGTATTATTGCTCACAGCATGGCATAAGACATGAGAAGACAGAGCCCGGTACACCACAACACAATGGAGTTGCAGAAAGGATGAACATAACCATTGTGAAGAAAGTGAGATGTATGCTTAGAATGTCTAATCTTCCTAAAATATTCTGGGCTGAAGCAGTTCAGTGTGCCGTGTATTTGATCAACCGTTCTCCATCATTTCCTCTTGGTTTTGACATTCCTGATAGAGCATGGAAGGGGTGTGATCCTTCATATTCACACTTGAGAGTCTTTGGATGCAAGGCATTCATGGAAGTGCCGAAAGATCAGAGATTGAAGCTTGATTCCAAGACTAACCCATGTGTTTTTGTTGGCTATGGTGATGAAGAGTATGGTTTCAGACTATATGATCCTGAAAAAAAAGAAGGTCGTGAGAAGCAGAGATGTAGTATTCTTTGAGCATGAGAAGGGTGCAGATCTTCTGAGTACAAGGTATACTTCTACTTCAGAATTGTCTTTTGATACTACTGATGATTTTTCTTCTCCTACACCTTCTGTAAATCAGCCAGCAAATGAGAATGTTGAGGAGAATCATGAAGATGTTGGTGAGGTACAACCTGATGGTGATGTACCAGTTCATGATGATGATGGTGTTCATGAGGATGATGGTGTTGATCGTGATGAGTCTTCATCAGATGAGGAAGAAGTACATGATGAAGAGGTTCATGAGCAGGGGGAGCAACCTACCGCTCATGTTGAGGATACGCAGGTTAGAAGGTCAACTAGAGAACGCAGGCCTTTAACTAAGTATCCAAGCTCAGAGTTCATTCTACTCACCGAGGACGGAGAGGCAGAAAATTATCAAGAAGTGTTGTCTCTTGAAGAGAAAGATCTGTGGCTCAATGCAATGAAGGAAGAAATGGAGTCCTTACAAAAGAATGAAACTTATGAGTTGGTGAAGCCTCCCAAGGGTAAGAAATTCTTGAAAAACAGGTGGATTTTCAAGAACAAGAAAGATGGTGAGAAGATAGTGAAGCGCAAAGCTAGATTGGTGGTAAAGGGATACAACCAGAAAAAGGGCATTGACTTTGATGAGATCTTCTCTCCTGTTGTCAAAATGACTTCTATTAGAACTGTGCTAGGATTAGCTGCAAGTCTTGATCTTTAGTTGGAGCAGCTTGATGTTAAAACTGGTTTTTTACATGGTGACTTGCATGAAGAAATCTACATGGAGCAACCTGAGGGTTTTGAAGAAAAGGGGAAAGAAAATCTTGTTTGCAAGTTGAAGAAGAGTCTTTATGGGCTTAAACAGGCACCAAGGCAATGGTACTGAAAATTTGATTCGTTTATGACAAGTAATGGTTATAAGCGGACTTCTGCAGATCCTTGTGTGTACTTTAAGAGGTTCCCTGGTGGCAAATTCATTATCCTTCTGTTGTATGTAGATGATATGCTGATAGTTGGGCAAGATTAAGAGATGATTAGCAATTTGAAGAAAAATTTGTCCAGTTCATTTGACATGAAAGACTTGGGTCCAGCAAAGCAAATCTTAGGCATGGAGATTGCTCGTGATAGGAAGACTGGAAAGTTGTGGCTATCACAGGAAAAGTATATTGAACGGGTTCTTGAAAGGTTCAATATGAAGCATGCCAAGCCGGTTAGTACACCATTAGCTTCTCATTTTAAGCTAAGTAAGAGAGCTTGTCCTACAACAGAGAAGGAGAAAAAGCAAGTATGTCTTCTATTCCATATTCTTCTGCTGTTGGTTCTTTGATGTATGCTATGGTTTGTACTAGACTAGATATTGCACATTCTGTTGGAGTTGTGAGTAGATACTTATCCAATCCGGGTAAGGTTCACTGGGATGCAGTGAAGTGGATCTTTAGGTACTTGCGTAGCCTCTAAACTTTGTTTGTGTTATGGAGGTGTAAATTCTGTTCTTGAAGGGTATACAGATGCAGACATGGCTGGTGATCTCGATAGTAGAAAGTCTACCTTAGGTTATGTGTTCACATTTTCAGGAGGAGCCATATCATGGCAATCCAAGTTACAAAAGTGTGTGACTTTGTTGACTATTGAGGCAGAATATATAGCAGCTGTGGAAGCAGGTAAGGAAATGCTTTGGTTGAAAAGGTTTCTTCAAGAGTTGGGTTTGAAGCAAGGTGAGTATGTAGTACTTTGTGGTGGTCAAAGTGCTATGGATTTGAGCAAAAATGCTATGTACCATGCCCGCACCAAGCATATTGATGTTAGATATCATTGGTTGCGGGATGTGATCGAAGATCAAAAAATGAAACTGAAGAAAGTCCACACCGACAAGAATGGTGCAGATATGTTGACTAAGATGGTTCCCGGAAGCAAGCTAGAAGTTTGTAGGAAGCTTGCGGGAATGAGCTTCAAGTGATAGTTGAAGTGTGTTCGTCTTCCCCGTTTTGGGCTGGAGGGGGAGATTGTTATGGGTCCAGCCCAATTGAAGTAAAATATATTTTGTTTTGGTCCATTTACTTGGTCCATTTTTATTACATTTTACTAGCTTGAATTAAGTCCAATTTAGGGACTTAAGTTGTGGCTTCTCTTGTAAGCTTTACATGAAAAATCTTGTGGTAAACAAGTGACCAAGTGAGGCAGCTAGTAGCTGAGAACACACACACAAAAATAGAGAGAGAAGTGAGGTTTTCATTTTCGGAGTTTTCAGGGCAGACTTCTGTAATTTGTCCGTCGCTGGAAATTGCACCGTTTGATCATCCTCAGATTTTGACAGCTTGTTTCTGACACCTAGGGCTTCATTTTGGACGGTTGGATCGTCAGTTTGAGCTATGATTTGGTCACAGTTGTCTTTGGACAGAACTGCCGTTTTTTGGTGAATTCTACCTTTTTGCTCTCTAATTTTCAATCTCTTATTGTTTATTGTTGTTGGTGGTTGTGAATTGTTGTGAGTTATATTGGGTTCATTTTACCCTCAATTTTATTATCAATAAGAGAATATTAAGGGTGGACTCCTCAAGAGGTCCCGTGGTTTTTATCCTTCACATCGAAGGGGTTTTTCACGCATAATTCGTGTGTGTTGCTTACATTTTATTCCGCTTATTATTGATGCGTGTGAGTGAAATATTGCTGTCCATATTTCATATTCTTGTTGTGTGATATGTTGGGTTGATTGGTTTGGATATTTGGTTGATTGTCTTGAGTCGGTGATTTAGTGAGTGTCGTAGTGACCTCTTCCGATCCCTACAACCTATGGCTGGGAAACTAACAAAGCGTGAATTATCTACTTTTGCTGCGTTGGCGTGGGCTTCGTGGACTAGCAAGAACAAGTCCATTCACGAGCAAGAGTCGCATAATCCTAGAATGCTGGCTGCAGGGTTCGTGAGGTATGTCCATGATTATAATTTGTATTCAGGTTGAGTTTTTGGAAAGGTGGCTAGGAGTGAGATATGTTCTGCTGCATCGTGGATAAAAACCCCCCGAAGGTGTGATCAAAATCAATGTTGATGCTGCTATTTTTAATGGAGTGGATGTGGGATTAGGTGCGGTGGTGCAAGATTCAGGTGGGACTCTGCTTGTAACTGCAGCTCGACGCCGCATAGGTGGGTGGGATCCAAGCATTGCAGAGGCTGCTGCTATGTGTTTTGGGATCGAGATTGCTCATCGTTTGGCTACACGACTATTTGGATTGAGAGTAATGCTCTTGGAGTAGTTCAGAAGATTAAAGGGAAAAGTCATATGTACTTGTTTACTGATAGAATCGTTAGCTCTATTTCTTGTTTTAATTTCTTTCATATTAGTCATGTTAAGAGGGGAGGGAACACTATGGCGTATTATGTGGCTAGGTCGTGCCCCCACAATGTGGTGGAGATTGTATATTTTGATCCATTCTCGCAAGGTATTCGCACCCTTGCTGAGATGGATATTGCTTGATTGATTTAATAATATGAGTTCCTTTCTTCTTTCAAAAAAAATAAATTATATAAATAGGGACATATAGGTAAACTAATATGTTAGAGACAAAATTGTCTATCACACTATTTATAAGTGTTTTCTCATACTTTGTAAAAGGTAGGAAAACGTTTACTTCCACCGTAAATAACTCCGGCTAAAAATTTTAGGCTTAGTATTAAATTCAATCTCGGACGCCAAGACGAATTTCTTGGTCACATGAACATCAAATTCATCAAAGAAATTCTCTTCTTAGGCAACCTTCAATGCTCAATTGACTTTCTCATGGTCTGACTACAAATCTACAATAAGAAGTATAAAAATACCACATAGAAAATATAGGCTATATAAAAACCAAGGCATAAAGAGCTATAATAATTAACCAACAGTTGAAGCAGAAAATATGATCCTCTTTACTACCTGATGAAGGTACATTGTTTCCATTCTCCACTACATGTAGCGTTGATGTAACATTTTTGGTTAGATGCGACTGCTGCTCCACCGCAGTAGAATTGGCAATTGTGGTACTGAGGCCTAATTGACCGTCAATTGCCTGAGGAGGAGGAGATTGTCGCAGTAGGGGAGTTTGTTGGGCAGTCTGAATATCCTTGGCTGAACTGTTAGGAGGAATTGGAAGAGATATTGGCATTGTGCCTAAATCTTCAACAATAAATGAAAGTCATTCACATTCAGCAAAGATTATGATAAAAAAGAAAATGTAAAGTATGTATATGAGATTTGACTGTTTTTACCTCGGCACATGGTGAAAGGAGGGACAGTAATGTAGCAGCTTGAAAAGGACAAAGAGAAAATGGTGGTTAATTGAGGAGCATCAGTCATAAAAACCGAGCACAAACAGTGGAACCCAACTCGAAGAGCTTGGTTAAGGGCTCTGCAACAAGGCTCTAAGAAAACATACTGTCCCTCTTGGTTGAGGCACTTATCAAGTTGTAGGCCTTGCAGCGAGCAACCCAGGCTTTGAGATTCTATCCCAAGAGGTAAAACACACAAGAGTAAGGTTATTACTAGAGCTAATTTTACGCGCATCATGACTCTCAAAACCATTATGTTTTCAGCAGTTTCTTAGTGTTCATCAGTCTAAACTATATATGTGCTTAGAGCTTTTGGAGGACAGTTTGTACTTCCTCATTCTGTTTTCATGATTCCATTTTTGCCCTTTTCTGTATCAATTTGTTATGCTCATTTTCATTGTTTCATTGAAATGATGGGGCAGATCAGTAATTTAGGACGAGTCACACGAATGGTGAACGAAGTCATGTAAATGTGAAGGGTACCAACTATGAGGGATGCTTAGATGAATGACTTATCCCACAATCAAAGCATTAACTGTATGAGCAATAGGGAAGAAAACTAGGTTATGAACTGATAAACATTCATGTGCATTCTGATCACACCTAAAATATGTGTAAATTTTCTTCATCAAGATCATTAAAAAAATTTCGATATCAAACTCTACACAGTATAAGGACACAAAATAAAATTTTATTTAACAAAACATGTACATAAATATTTCCAGATAAACAATCAACCTTACAATACAAGAAAATGAAACACACCCGAAACAAATAATCACAACTCTCAAAAGAATAATCCTCATCCATATATTACATAACAGTAGAAATGGTCTAGAAGTACTTCATCATCATGACAGCAACTGCTGAAAGCAGGACAGCAGGTGAAATGCTCAGAGAAGGCATTGCAGCTGAATCCGAAGGATTGAGAGAAGAACCAGACCCCGTTCCTGTACTTGTCGATGTTGGTGGCAGAGAACCACCTTCTACTGTAGATGGTGGAGTCAAAGTTGGATTCGCGTCTGAAACTGGAGCTAGTGCTGGTGTATCAGATGTAGGAACTGTACCTGTTGCATAGTTAAATAACATCAGAATTAGTCTTAATACTTTCATAAAATTTTCTCATGTAATGGATTTCAAAAAAATTTCATGATTAAAGTTACTAACCGACGGGACTAGGGGAGATGGATGATGTAGGGGAGGCAGATGGGCCGAAGGCAACCGGACCTGCAAGTATGAAGAAAAATTAGCAAATTAATAACACTATGTCAAGAACAGATACTAATACAATGTAATTCTGATCAATTTGATTTGATAATGAGGTTGTATCATCGGAAAATATAAAGGAAAGCATATAAATGTACCTGGAGCAGGAACTGGAGCACCAGGAGAAGCTGAAATCAGAGGAACAATGCAACTTTAGTATCAAGCAAAAGATAGGGAAAAAAAATAAAATTGATAATATGACTTGAAACAGTCCTTTCTTTTTAGTTCTGAATTTAGTCAAAGTTTGCTAGCTTTGATTAATAAGTTACAGTATGAAATACAAAGTATATATTGACACAAAGTTGTATATATGATTTACTAATTATAAATCATATTTTTAAATGTTACTTCACACCACATAGATCATACATGGTTGTAAGAAATTATATTAATTAGGATACCATTAGTATTATATCCACCTTATCAGTGTGGTCAATCTTTTGTATTTTATTCAATGGTATCATTACAGATAATATAAAGTAGTTTGAAGTTTATGTTACTAAATTTAGAAAGTGGCTTATTATTTAAGGACGGCAATTCAAAGAGTGATAAATTTACCATAATTAGAACATGACAGTTACTATAGAGCAGAGGAGGTTATATGATTTCACCTTTGCACTGAAGTGGAACACCAGGTTGATTGCAGGCCCTAGGGAGGGAAATAGCCGTGGTACGATTGATAGGAAGACGGAAGGGAACACCCCCGGTCACAATTTGGCAAATACAGTCAGTGCCATTGCTCATAAGATTCCTTAATGAGTTGCAGCAATCGGCTGTTGGTGAAGATCCGGTGCCACTGCTGTTGGTAAGGTAGTTTACGCAAGGAGTAAAGCTCGAAAGCATCGAGGATGTGCAAGGGGAAGTAGGAACTTGTGCATAAGCTCCTAAATCTAGCACCATCAAAGAAACTGCTAATACTATGACACCTTTCATCATTTCCATGAGGATTGTAATTTTCTTGCAGACTTTGGTGCTTGGTTTAAATAACAAGAGTAAAATTGTTGATTAATGAGTGTTTTTTTCTCTAAAGTTAGTAATGAAATATAATTGAATGTGTAATTGGTGATTTGAGAAGGATTGTTTTGCAACAATTTATAGACAATTTTGAGGTAATAATAGTTGAAAGATGGAATATTTGGTAGTTTTAAAGTGGGTTAGGAGCTCAACTACTTTTAACTAATTTATAAATACTAAAATAGGCCTAAGGTTAGGTGGGTTTGGCCTGTTTTTGGGGTTAGCCATCTGACTTAGGATAATACTAATTTTAATGATTGGTTATTAGCTTAAGTCACAGTTATTATCAATTGGAACACTTATAACTGTTTTTGGTTTTAAAAGTAACCTAAACTATTGAATTAGTCAGCAAAAGAAGAGTTTAAAGAAAGCAAAGATAAACAAAGGTCAAAATACTTGGCAAACTTTTCTTTTGGATGTTTAAGTTTGTGTCGTATTCAAAGGATTGTATTGCATATCAAAATAAGTGCTGTTATGTCTCTAATTATTACTCTGTAAAATGTTTATATTTTGTAAGTATTTATTAAGATGAATCGTACAATAAAGATACAATAATAAAGAATGTTGCACTTCAATCTTAAGAAACTATATCCTATAGAATCAAGTTGCTTAGTTGAGGTCTTATAGGTAAATGAAACTTTTAATTGGAACAAAAGCATGGTAGAAGGACCTGTAATACGGTCTCTCATCTGGTGGCAAGGTGGGAGTCTAATATATACACGAAGTATGTTTGAATTAGTTCTTTTCTGCAAAGCATTGTTTATTTTAGCTTTGGCAAAAATTGAACTTATTTAATAAAAGTCCGCTCTATCCTTCTCTAAAATAAAATTAAAATATTACCAAACCCACCTCTATACCCTTTCACTACACGGAATATGAGTACAATTTTTATTATTAATAGATTTATAATATTACATTACACCTATAAATACTCAACTATTTTCAAAAACTACGTACTTATAGTAAACAATTATGGAGTAGAGCATAAAAAAATGAAGGGAATATAACACTGGTTAAATGATACTATTATTTTTGTTACCTTCAAGGTTATTATTGTTGTTAATATTTGAAAATTAATAGTGTCCAAAAATTACACTCAACCATGCCAAAATTTCCTGAACAAAATCTTATCTTATGGTATTAGTTTTGTGTTAGGTAACCTGAATCTCATGATCATTCAGCTAATCCTTCGCCAGGTGTATTATAACGGCTACCATACTGTGATAAAATATTATGATAAAAATAATACTTGTAAACGAAGTATTGCACTGTACATATGACAAAAGTTGTACAATTAATTAAATTCATATAATCAAAACACGACAATTTTAAACCACAAATTTAGATGGATGGACTACCCCTGAAAAAGACCCAAAAGTGTAAAATTTTCTTTGAAGTTGTTAACTGCTCTCTAATCTTTTGTTCTTGCTAGTCAAAATTAACCCCTACTTTGTTCACCTAGTACGTGCCCAAAACTACATAACATGCACTTCTTATATTTGATACTTCAAAAAAAAATTGCAAAAAACGAAATAAGGTTTGTATATCAAAACTAAAATGGCTTTGAGAAACATGGGGATGACAACTATGGTTATTATTATGTTGATCATATCGATGTTTTGGGCAGGGGTTAGTGCTCAACCTAGTTGCCCTGCGGCGTTAACGTCCTTAACTCCTTGTTTGAGCTTTAGTGTCCGAAATTCGTCCACACCGTCTTCTTCTTGTTGCTCGGAGCTTGCTAATATGCTTCAAACGGCTCCAGTGTGTCTTTGTAACGTGCTTAATGGAGTTGGTGGAGAATTGCTAGAAGGTTTCCTTGATCGGACACTCGCTAGTGCTCTTCCTAGTGCTTGTAATATGCAAACTCAATCTAGGAGTCAATGTGATGGTAAGTACTACTCTTTTATTAACAAATTATTAATGAACTTGTATTTTTACCTGCGTGATTTTGTATACATTATTTTAATGATAAAATATTATAATGGGCGTACTTTTTCACATTATAATATGGACACAATTAGTCTTTTAATCTGTACAATAAAAGTTTAAATTTAAATATTTTAATTCAACAAAAAAATATATATATGTTGAGAATTTATAAAATAAAAATTTTGATGTATAAAAAAAAATGTTGATGATACTATTTTATACCTATATATATATATATATACACTTTATTACTTGAATTAAAAAAAAGTCCAATTCCTATATAAAAAAAAAAGTTTAATTGATTAGAATATTATGATAGTTATATTTCAATCGAATTAATCACTATAAAATTTTCAAAAATTTATTTGAGTTCGGGACCTAAGTGCTATTGCATTTGTGTTTCGATTTAATTGAACAATTCAAATGTGTAAGTAATCACTATAATGAACAACAAGTTTGGTCACCTCAACTTCTCCTTTGCTTGCATGTAAATATGAAATTCTATGTGAGGAGATGCATGCGTGCTATGACTGCTATCTAGTATCACCTACAAAGTTTGTGTCTGTAATTTTTTTATTTTTTTTTTGTCTATTGACTTACCTCATAAGATCGAGTATCATTTTATGTGTCACTCTAATTAATCCACATCTTTAATTTAAACCATATTCAAGAAATTAAAATAAAGGTAATAATAATATTAGTTAAGTGATGATAATAAGTACAAGTAATTAGTAATGTATGTCTTCAATCTGTATGCCCCTTACAAACGATCCGATTAATTAATGATCCACCATTGGGATGCCTTAGGGAGTTGGAGCCTTGGAGTTTAGGAGACACATGTGTGCCTTGGTTTAGGGGAAACGTCTCTAAAGCTAATATTGTTTGTTATACTTCCTTCGTTTTCTTTTATTGCGCACATCTTCATGGCATGCACTTTGAGGAATAGATCAGGTAATGTAAATAGACAAAGTAATAAAAAATTATGCAAGTTTGGTGATAAAATTGTGTTGATATAGTCGCTCGTTTACCTACACTAATCAACTCCTAAAAAAAATGCCCAGAAAAATTAAAAATGGAGAAAATAGTTTTCTATTCGAGCCTATTTTTAGGGCCTCAAACGTTTCAATATTTGGAGTAGAGTAGTACATAAACCCATAGGTCCGTAGCTAAGGCCAGGGTATATATGTGTTACAAGTATGTAATTCCACAAGATCAATTAAAACATCCTTTCGTTTATCTGTAGATGTAATTAACACTTGGTTATAATATTATAAAAAACACAAATAAAGTTTATAAATTATTTGCAGGATTGGGCTCTCAAGATATGGGTGATAGTGGCAATGGTGCATACTCTGGAGGATTCATACTAAAGATACCATTGACGCTTGCTATCTTCTTCACAATAGTAGGATCATATACACTGCATTTTTAAGTACATACAACATACAATATGACTTTGTCACATTTTAGATTTTACTGGAAATTCCTTATACTTTGTATACTTTAATTTGTCACATTTTGATCATCTTACCTGTTTATATATAGTATTGTTTCATTTTGTTTTGGCTCGCTAGCCTCGTTGTAACTTGTAACTACAAAGAACATTATAAAGTTTATACAATTTTTTTAATACAAGTTATTATTTGTAAACTCTATTTGAATCAAAGTACGAATTTAGTTTCACTGTGCAATATGGTTGGAAAAACCTTAATAAAAAGGCATGCAAAAATGCGGTGAGCGTGGATCGAACACGCGACCTTCAGATCTTCAGTCTGACGCTCTCCCAACTGAGCTATCCCCGCAATTGTTATTGAAATACTTTAGAATTATTATATAATTTTTGTTTCCATTATTATTGGTACGGACTAGGAGTACAATGGAAAATTAATGGGTTCTTTCGTAGAAAACGATAACTTTAGTTTCCATAGTTTATTGGTGCAACGACTTGCGGGGAAGCCTCCTGTTAAAGTGTTAGAAGCCATGGCAGCAAGGATAGGTTTGCAGGTTGCGCGTGAGCTTGGGTATGGAAGGGTGGAGTTGGAATCTGATGTCCTTATAGTGACTAATCTGATCAGATCGTCAAAGGAAGGCATGGCTCTGTTGGATCTTGTTATTGATGATATCCGTTCTATGAGTAGGGAGTTTGATAGCTTTGATTGTGTTCATATTAAAAGGGTGGGAAACTGTGTTGCTTACCTTATGGCGAGACAATACCCACCTGATGGTTTTGAGCAATTATATGTTGATAACTTTCCGCAAGGGGTCGTCTCCCTTGCTGAGCTTGATGTTGGCTGATTTTTAATACTAATTTATGCTCTTAGAGCCTTTCAAGAAAAAAAAAAAAAAATTATTGGTGCGTACAACGAAGTACTATGGAAAATTAATTGTCCCCCGTAAAAGTTTGTATGCATTTATTTCTAAGTGTTGTTTTTTTTTATTTTTTTCTCTTTTTTTTGGAAAAACATTATTTCTACATTTAACCTTAAACTAGTTTAAGTCCCGTACAATGCACGGTTGTTATTAAATTTTATAAAGAGTTATTGTATTGAATTTTATAAAAAATTATACTCATAATACTAATGCAAAAAATAAATACTTCTTCCGTTCTTTTTTACTTGACCTGTTTCTTTTATCATGCTTGGCAATGGAAAACTTTAACGATCAATAACTTTAATTCTCCATAAATAAAAATCATAAAAGTTATATATTATAATATTACTTATTGAGACGAATTTAAAAAGATCCCACACGAGATATGTTTTTCGTTACATATAATTCACAAAAGACGGTCAAAGGAAGGGTGGTGAATAGTGTAAAAGTCAAAGCGGGTCAAGTAAAAAAGAATAGAGGAAGTTTAACTTTAATTTTAACCAAGCTATACCAATGTCAATTTTTTTTTTTTTTGAAAGAATACCAAAGTCAAGGCTAGTGACACTTAGACTTGTTTTTTTTTTTTTTTTTTTTTTTAAAAAAAAAAAAATTAAAATAAAAGGGGGTCTATGAGTTTTTATTTTAAAAAAAAAATTCTAAGGATAGTACTCGGCTCGTGCTGCGTTATTATTGATACGACTTTTAAGAGTAGAAAATAAGTGTATATATGTGTGTGTATGTTAACAAAATGATTTTATTTTTAATTTAATTAAACATTATTGCAAAAGTAACAAAATTGGAAGGAAAAAAAAAGTTAATAGTATTATCGAAAACTAAGATGATACAGAGTAGTATTGTTTAATAATATTTACCTAATATACGTTTATTTTGTACAAAAAAAATACCTAATATAAAATACTACGTATATGTAAAAGTATATTAGTTGGGTTTATATAGAGAATTATTAATGTTAAGAATTTTAATTGGAAGAAAGATATTTTAGATTATTATAAAATAATTTTCTTAAAAATCTGTGTAAAAACGGAAAGTAAAATGGGCGGGAAAATTTTTAATCAGGAGATGACATATGTCATTTATGGTTTTGCTTTTAGTATATAGTTATTGATTAAAAAAAAGTGTTGTACTTATAAATCGTAACAGTGTGATGTTGAATTTCTTATTCTCATTTTTATTGATTATAAACAATATATTGTTCTCACCTTTTGACACAACCCAGGAAACTGCAAGCTACCAAGTAGCAACTTGATTCAATAGGAGAACCAACCGCTTGGATACAAACTTTTTGAATAAAAAACCAAAATAATTAAACCGATTAACACCCGGGTGTACATAAAACTTTTTAAGTATTCGACCAATGCAAAATCGAAACTACAAGGTCAGAATAACATTGACCTGTATAATCCCCGTATCCAATACCTAATTAACATGTGACAATTAAACTTGAAAACAAGCCAACCCTAATATTGAGGACATAATGCTATATACTTGAGTAAATGTAAAATACAGTCCCTAATCTTTTGTATTTGTACACTTTTAGTCCCTCTTAACTATTTTGTGCACTTTTAGTCCCTCAGCCACCTTGTTTGGTGTTTGTCAGCCAAAAGTTGAGGGACCTTGCCTAGTCAGCAAAAGTTTAGGGACTATGAGTTAGCAATTTTTTATTTTATATTTTTGCCAGAAAATGTATTTAAAAAAGAATCTTTATAGCTGAGCTGGCAAATGACATGATGAAGTAAATTTTAGGGACTTGAAGAAGCCACATGGCCCAATTAAAATCATCTTAATCTAAACGCAGCGTTTCGATTTCTATTCCCTATGCAAACTGATCATTTAGCGGGATGAAATTTTGTTTATATACTCTAGAAGACTCCAAGGGTCATTTTCATCTCAAACACAAAACCAAAAAATCGAGCTCCATTGATGTTTGGGTGGGAATTCGGAGAGTCATCAGCGCAAAAGAAAGCTAAAATTGAGTCTTTAACATCTGTTGAAGGTAAGTTCATCCCCAATTTCATTTTGATTTTCGAATTTGAATCATACCCTGTTTTGTTGAACGAAAACGAGTAAGGGTTTCATGAAATTGTTGAAAAATATGAAATTTTTTGTGTTGATCTACTTAAATTATGCTTCACTATGTTATTCTCTGCAATCGCATGTAATTTGTTGTTGTTTTGTGTGATTTTTGTGGAGTTAGGGTTTGACACTTATAATCGAAAAGACTAGGGTTTTGTATGCTTTGTTTTTTTAATGTGATTAATAAAAATGACCATTCTAATAGATGTGTTCACCTAATAACCTAGTTATGGATGCTTTAGACGACGCTCACCCACTGATGGGAACCCAGGATATCCTGGTGATGCATGTGTTCCCCAAACTCAATTGGGAGGACCAGCCAAGTGTCGAGATGATTTGCTGGAAGTGGCATCTGTGGTGGATTCTTAGGCACATTGCTCCCTACCTGCCATACCGTGTGCACAATAGGAATGAACTCAGGGTCTGGGCTCTTTATGACATTCTCTATAATTTTGGGAGGGACTTCTTTGCGTGGATTGAGAAGGACATGACTGTGTACTTCGACGGCTTTCCACTTCTATTCAAGGAAGATTAGGGGGTGGGTTGTATATGTGGTGGTAGGTGGTAGTAGGTTTTTAGGTTGGTTATGGGTGGTCTAGGTTTACTTTTGCCATTGTCATAGCTTAGAATGTATGTAGGTTGGGTGAATGTGACATTCAAGATGTTTTTTTTTTTTTTTTTTTTTTTGTGGGTATGCCATTGCTATGACAATGTAATCTAACTTAGTTTGATTAGGCTTCATTTAATAATGTAGGTTGATGGAAATGTATGTAATTCAATGAAGCCTAATGTAGGATGATGATCTTTTGTAATGAACAAGTTTATGGATTATATGAATGAATATGAATGTTATTATTCTGTTTATATTGGTCTTCCTTAATCTATTTTGAATTTAGTTATTAATACATGTTTGGTATATGATGATGATGATGTTCATGTATGTTATTAGTTCATTCAATCTTTGGTGAGTTAGTTGATTTTGGCCTTGTTATCAAAGTTAAACACTGTCCATCCTTTATGATTGCCAGATTATGGAACTAAAACCTTGTTTGGTTGACACCATGGTGCTGAATGGCAAATTAGTTGTGATTCATTTTACCTAGGGGGAAAAATAAATGTGTTTGAGGACATTCCTGAAACTGTGGATGCTATGTATGTGAAGAATTTAATAATGGTTTAGGGTACAATGACATTGTTAATAAGGTCCATTTCTTGGATCCTAGGAAGGATTTTAACTCTGGGATTAGGTACCTTGGTTTTGAGAAAAATATATGTGATTCATTCTTGACTTTACTTCTATAGTACAAGCTCTTTCATATATATACAGAGCATGAGGAACCTAGCAGGTTTTTATTTCAGAATATAAGGAAAGGGGTTCTTTTATGATTTTAGTGACAAGAGAGAATGTGGAAGAATATGAGCCTGTTGAGACAGTAAATGAAGGAGTAAAAGTGGATGCACATGACCATATTCCTAGGCATGACAAAGCTGATATAGACTATGACACTGAAGGGACTGATGTAATGATGAAGAGGTTGTGCAAGCAAGGTGTGAATTAGCCAAAGACAAGGAGAATGTGATTTCTTATGAGGATGAGTTACAGATGTTAAGGAGGGTAGCTGCAGATAAGGGGTTGGGTGAAATAAGGAGTGACTTTGAGGGGTTTGACGAGCTAGATAGACCTATTGAAGATGATGATGACAATGACTTTGGTTATTTAGTTGCTCCACCAAGCAATAAGTATGATAAGGGACATAGGAGGACCATTAATAGTGAGAAAACGCTCTTATTTAATCCTGGTTAGAACTTTGAGAACCAATCCATTTTCAAACAAGATGTTAGGAATCTGTCGATTGAACAAGGTAGAAACTTTTCATTTTTTAAGAATGATAAGATGAGGATAGGAGCAGTTTGTGAACATAAGGACAAAGGGTATCCATGGAGAATATGGGCTTCATGGGATAATAATAAAACAAAATTCTTTGTGAAATCACATGTTAGTGAGCATACCTATGGCAGATCATGCAAGGTAAAAAAAATGTCAGCCACTTGGATCGCAAATCAATACAACACTCAGTTCAAAGTCAACCCTTATATGAGGCTACATGATCTTATGGAGACAATTTGGTTAGCCTAGGGCATTAGGATCAGTAGGTACTTGGCTCATAGGGCTAGGAGAAGAGGGCAATCTCTTATTGTGGGTGAGTACAAGGAGCAGTATGCATTGCTTCCTAGGTATGCAGCAGAGATATTAAGAAGCAACAGGGGAAATGCAGTCAAGATCAAGTTAAATGGGAGTGTTTTTGATAGGATATACATTTGTTTTGAGGCTTTGAGGAAAGGTTTTTTAGGTGGATGCAGGCCTTTTATATCATTGGATGAGTGCTTTTTGAAGGGTCCTTATGGGGGCCATTATTGGTTGCAGTTGGTAGGGATGGGAACAACCAAATGTTCCCCTTAGCATTGGCTGTAGTAGGTGTTGAGAGCACTGATAGTCGGAGTTGGTTCCTATACCTACTTGTTGCTGACTTGGGAACAGATGAAGGAGCAGGGTATACATTCATGTCAGATCAGCAAAAGGGGTTGGTTGTTCCAATTGCAGAGGTGTTTCCACAGGCTGAGAGCAAAGCATGTGCAAGACATGTCTACTGTAACTTTAGGGGGGTGTTTGGGGGTAGCTTAGAGTTTAGAAAGCAACTTTGGATAATTGCCAAGTCAACAACTGAAAATGATTTTCTAGAAAATTACAAGTCATGAGGGAGCTATCTAATGATGCTGCAGAGAATTTGTTGAAGAGAAATTATAAAATATAGTGCAGGGCTTTCTACACACCTATGTCATGTTGTGACAGTGTAGACAATAACATGAGTGAAGTTTTTAATGCATACATACTTAAATAGAGACATAAGCTTATTATCAGCATGTTAAAAGACATCAGGGAGAGCCTAATGGACAAATTGCACAAGAAAAAGGACATGATCAAAGAGAGGGATCTCACTTTATGTCCTAGAATCCAGCAGCAACTAGAGAAGCATAAAATATGGGCCAAGGGTTGGAATGCATTTTGGGATGGTGGACTTTGCTATGGAGTGAGGGATGGGGCAACTCAAACAAAATATGTTGTCAATTTGGTGGACAGAACATGTTCCTATAATGCATGGCAAGTTAGTGGAATACCATGCAAACATACTGTGGTGGCCATCTGGAATAATTGGACTAACCAAAGATATGTGAATGATTATTTCAGAAAACACACATATGCAAAGGCTTATGATCACCTACTTGAGCCACTAAATGGTCCACAAGAATGGCCTACTGCTGAGTACAGTGTTATTGCTCCTGAGTTGAAAAAGGTGCATAACAAACCTAAAACAAAGAGAAGGCCTTCAGCTGGTGAGGTTACTGACAATGGGAAGCTAAGGAAGATAGGATTCAAAATAACATGTAGCTTGTGTTGGGTTCCTGGCCACAACAAAACAACATGTAAGAATGCACTAAGGGAAAGCCCCAGTGGTCCTAACACCACTACTGCAACCCCAAATGACCCTACTCCTGCAGTCCCAATGCACAACAGAGGTGTGGGTGTATACACCTACCCTAATGGTTATCAAAGATAAGCAACTGTAAGTATTTGTTCTTGCCTTAAATTGCTATAATTTTATGGTCATTACTTTACTTATATAATTTTTTGGTCACTGATTTCAGCTAATTACTCAACCAATGCCAAGACCTTCAAGAGGAGCTGCATTTTACCCTGATTATGTAGGAGAGCAGACCATATATTCCTTCTCTCAGGAGTATCCTCTGTCACAAACACAACCAAAAGCAGCATCTCAATCTTCACAAACAATATCAACACAAGCATTGCAAGACTTAGTTAGGGCAAAGCAAGTTCAGGTTAGAGAACAGAGCAAATAAGGTAACCTGATTTCTTTTATTAATAATAATCATAACAACTCTTACATTCCAGCATTAGTTAATAAGATTACATTTATTTGTCCTGCTACCTAATAACATACCAAGCAACTAAACATGTAGCAATTTCAACAATAAAGAAATCCGTGATTTTTTTCATTTTCAACATAACACATTTTGAGGTCATCTTTATCCTTGCATATGTGTTTGCTTCATTAATCCTCATCTTTAGCTCTTTAACTTCATTAGACAATATTCTTTTGTCTTCAAGTAGCCCTAAGATGACATCCCTCTGCCACCCAGTCTAATCTTCTTCATCAATCCACTTAAAAAACTTGCAGCCCCTTCTGTTGGTCTCAACATCATAGTCTGGGCATGCCAAAAATCTCTTGTTCTTGACAGTGGTAAACCACAATAACACCTCCTCCCACTACCACTAGAACCTCTGCTGTAAGAACACATCCTGTAAAACACAACAAAAAAATACATTATTATTTTGAAAATAAAGCTATAACAATGATTAATAATTGCAAAATTACAATTTTGTTTTGCAGGTACCTGGAGTTGAGTTCCTAATGTAATGGAAGCACTTTTGTGGAGAAGCAAATTTTTTTCTTATGATCAACAATTTATTTGTGAAGAAATTCTACCATTTATAAAGCCTTTTTAAATTGTTAACAGCTAGTTTTTTTATACAGCAAAAAAAATTGCTCAAATGCTGTTTAATTGTTAATACATTAATGGTTGAAGTCCCTAAACTATTTGCTTAGTCATCGTCCCTGAAGTATTTGCTCAATTGCTTACTTAACGTCCCTGAACATTTTTGCTAACTGGAAGTCCCTAATCTTTTGCATAGTCAACAAGGTCCCTCAACTTTTTGTGGACAAACACCAAACATGGTGGGTGAGGGACTAAAAGTGCACAAAATAGTTAAGAGGGACTAAAAGTGCACAAATACAAAAGATTAGGGGCTGTATTTTATCTTTACTCCTACATACTTCCTCAATTCCTATTTAGTTCATATGATTTGACAAAGTCAAATTTTAGACTTATCAATTGAATTTAACATGGAGTTTAATATTGTGTGAAAATTGGTAATGGGGTAATATTTTTAATATAGTTAGGTACTATTCACTCCAGCTTAAAAAAAATATTCAGTAAAAATAATTTCAATTTAGTAAAAATAAGAGAAAATACAAGTTTATCAAATGGAAAAAACGTAAATAAATCAACAACTTTTACCAAAAAATAAAAGGATTTCAAGAAACTGTTTTTACCACCAAAACTTTTCAAAGTTATATTTTACCACCAAAAAATTTCTTAAAGATTGTGTTTCATAACCTGCCGTCAAGAAGGCCAATTTGAACATGCATGTGTTTTACAATTTTTAGAATTTGTTGTGGTAAAATAAAACTTTAAAAAGTTTTGGTGGTAAAAAATAATTTCGTGATTTTTTTGGTAGTAAAAGTCATAATTTTCAAAAAATAATATAAAAATAATTTCAGATCAGTAAAAACCATTTAATAAAAATTAGTAACTTTAAAGAAGAAATGAAATAGAGAATAGTAAAAATAATTTCAGTTCAACAAAATGAGAAAATACAAGTTTATAACCTTGATATCAAAGGGTGTATATGTAAATTACATCTAACTTTGGTTAACTGTTGTTTTCTCTCTCCTCCTTCAACATTTTGCTGTTTTATGATTTTCTCTCTTCTCCTTTAACCTTTTTGTAGTTTTATATCTCCTCCTTCAACCTTCAATTTCAATGGTGGAAAGTAGACCTTTTCACTACCACATTGAACAAGTCGAAATCTGTAATACCCTGGAAATTTCCTCTTTTTAAAATACTCTTTTAACTCTAAATAAAACTCAATTTAGGATATTTCCAAAATATTACCGCCACCGTGATAACGGTTAAGGTTATTTTCAAAGTCACACAGCGAAAGACTGACTTTCAAAAACTCTTCTTTTTCTCTCTTCCCCACGCCTCTCTCTCCCTCTTCTCCTCCCCTCATGCCAGCAGCCACCGGCACCACCGTCGGCAACAACAGCAGCCGACAGCCCGCCGGCCACCCTATCCTTTTTGTTTTTGGTGTTTTAGTATTATTATTAAAAAAAAAAACCTCTTTTCTCTTCCTAATTTAATTCTATTTTTTTTATTAATTTAAAGCATGATTTTGATTATGTTTTGGTATTGAATTTAGGTATTTGATGTTGTTAAATTATTTATATAATTTTCAGATTTTTAATCAAAAACCCTAATTTACAAACCCTAGTATTTGGGAATTTAATATTTATGGTTAAGGTTTGATCCTAGGTTGATGTTGTTGTTTAATTAATGTTTTAAACATGTTTTTAATGAGTTAAAGCCCACAAATTAATGCTGAAATTTATCTATACACACTATTTTTTAATTATTGAGTTAGGGTTTGATTACCCATAAAAAGGAAAAAGGTTTTAATGGTTTAAATATGATTTTCTAATCTATTAGTGATGTTTTATATTAAATAAGGATGCTGGAATTTTATTTAAGTCATAAAAATTAATTTGAAGCACCCGCTTAAAGAAAAGGTTTTATGGATTTATGTCATTAAATTGGGTTAATTAGTAAGGTTTAAAGAGTATAATAGTTGTTGGAAATTTGTGAGAATAGTCGATTAATTATAGTTATGTATTCTTATTTGTAGGAGGCTTTGAGCTAGGTGATTTCTAACGAGTGTGGCCAAGTTTAGGCATTATTCAAAGTACGTATGTGCACAAGAATATTTGTACATGCGTAGTATCATGCTAGGATTTGTGAAGTATGATTTAAGTGATGAATTAGTAGCATGTTTGGTTGATTATATGCTTGAAATTGATGTTGGTTGAGCATGAATTGTAAGCAAGCATGTGAATATTATTTGAGGCATGATACAAATTGAATATGTATAAGTCATGGAAGTATGTATTATTTTCAAGTATCAAGAAAGCATGTATTTAATAAACAAGGCTTATATATGAGTTAAAGAGCTAAAGTTAGAATTATCGATCATGATTCATGAATTTATTTCTCACCCATTTATTATTGGTGTTGAGTCAAGAAGTTAGATAATTTATTTACTCACTCAAGTAAGTTGAGTTTGAGTCAAGGAAGTTTAGTAGTGCATCTTATGCACCAAGGTAGTAATCGTGCAATTTTGTGCATAAAATTAGGCAAGGAACCTTAATTAAAATAAATAGTATGTGCTCACTAATTAATTCAAGAATGAATTGGAAGTATGTATTGATTGTTATTATGTTTGTTCTTGATTGATTGGTTTGAGTCATCACAAGTTAAATTGGTAAATCACGTAAAGTGTAAGAGGATACGCACCAAAACTCTTGGAACGTATATACCTTGAGTATGAACATATGAGGAGAGGTATAGGATTTTATATTTAACCATAGCTTCTACAGGGGTACAGGACGCTGTATTTTCTTTTATTATTCATGCGCTGGAATTCCGTCACCAAGTGTGGCATAGTAGGTGCCAGTTGGGGTAGCTCCCTAATTGGAAGCTCAATATTTAAATATGCTATTTTTAAGGAAAGAAACTCGTTCGATGCGTTATCCAAAACTTATATCAATAAATTAAAGTAGAGTCACGAGTCAAAGGTAAGTTTACTTGTGTTGTATGGCGAGCATGTTTTATTATTTATTTATTTATTTATTGTCTATTTCTAGGATATTCATGTTAGTGTGATTATTCCTATTGGTGCATATGTACTCAGGTTTTGCTGATTCGTACTTTGTTATTTGTGTTTTGCTTTTCTTTGGATTGGCCCTACTATGACCCATTTTATATGGCGAGTAGTGATGTTGAAATAAAGAGAAGTACAGGTAAAGAAGGAGCATATCAAGCATGATGGGATTGAGCGAAGAGGGTTACATGTTTCTTTGTTTATTATTTATTGTATTGAATTATTTATGTAATTGTCGATAATAACATTAATTATTGTTTTGGTATTTTTAGTTTGGTTTTAAAAAGGGCCTTTAATGGTTCCAATTTATTGGTTTGAAGTTTGAATTTGTTTTATTAAAATTTATTTTATTTGAGTTTTTGAAAGTTGGTCTTCCGTAGTGTGACTTTAGCATTAGCCGTTATCACGGTGGCGGTAATATTTTGGAGATTTCCTAAATTGAGTTTTATTTAGAGTAAAAAAAGTATTTTAAAAGGAGGAAATTTCCCGGGTATTTCAAAAGTATTTTAAAACAAGTTGGCCCCAAAGGAAGAACTCAAGGGGGAGTAGGATTTAGAAATGACAGTATTGTAATTATGAGTTTTTGTTTTAAAAAGGGAGTATAAATACTTCAAAGCCTTAAGATTTTTAATTCTAAAATCATAATTATCATATTTCACAAAAAAAATCCAAGGTTTTCTCTTTATTTTCTCTCTCCTCTTTCCCCTTATTTTTTCCCTTTCTGTTTCCTCTTCTTTTTCCTCTCCTTCCCCACGCCTCTCTCTCTCCCTCTTCTTCTCCCCACACGCCGGCAGCCACTAGTGCCACCACCACCACCAGCGGCAGCAACAGCAGCCGGCAGCCCGCCGACCATCCTCTCTTTCTTTCTCCTTTTTGTTTTTGGTGTTTTGGTATTATTACAAAGTGGTATCTTGGAGCTTTGGTTGGATTTTAATTACCACTAAAGCCAAAAACGTTTTTCATGGGTACTTTTTTTTTAAATCTTGGC